TTATATAATGATTATATGTTATATATTATATATAACTATTATTTATATTGAATATTTACATTCACATTATAAATATATTCATGTTACATTTACATTCAGTGGCTTTTCTTGTTTTTTTTTTTTTTGGAGACAGAGTTTCTCTCTGTTGCCTGGGCTGGAGTGCAGTGGTGTGATCTCAGCTCACTGCAACCTCCACCTTCCGAGTTCAAGCGATTCTCCTGCCTCAGCCTCCTGAATAGCTGGGATTACAGGTGCCCGCCATCAAGCCCAGCTAATTTTTGTTTAGTAGAGACGGGGTTTCATCATGTTGCCCAGGCTGGTCTCGAACTCCTGACCTTGTGATTCGCCCACCTCGGCCTCCCAAAGTGCTGGGATTACAGGCGTGAGCCACCGCGCCCGGCCAGTGGCATTTAGTATATTTGCAATACTGCGCCGCCATCACCGCCATTTAGCTCCAAAACAGTCTCATCACCCCCAAGAGAAACCCCATCCCGGGCAGTTGCTCCTGCCTCCTGCAGTCCCCGGGAACCAAGAGTCTCCTTCCTGTCTCAGCGCATTGGCCTGTCCTGGACATTTCCTACAAGTGGAATCCCACATTGTGTGGCCGTTCGTTCCTGCCTTCCCTCACTGAGTGCGAGGTTTTGAAGGCTCATCTCTATTGTAGCCCGTGTCAGTGCTGCTTCCCTTTTGATGGCTGATTTTTTATTCACTGTGGTTTCTAAGAATCACATTAGAATACTGTGTGTTTTACTTATTGTCATTAGAATACTGTGTATTAGAATATTACACAGTAATATTCTAACATTAGAAGACTGTGTGTGTTAGAATACTGTGTGTTTTACTTATTGTCATTTACCTTGACGACTGGGTTTTTTGGCTCTCACTTACATTTTGCACCTGAGGCTCGTGATTCATTCTCCTTCCCCTACTTCTGTCCGGGTGACCACGGAGATGGGCACACAGTGAGCCTTCAGGAAATGCCCGGCGAAGCCATCGCCAAGTTGCAGAGACCCAGCCAGGCCCAAAAGGCTGAGCCATCCCCCTGTGTCCTTATGTCAGACCTTGGTGGTGACCTACAGAAGTGGAAGCTCCCCATGTCTGGGCTCCGGCCCAGCCTCCATGGGGCCTACCTTGGTGCTAAAGGGTTGTTAGATCCAGGCCGTCACCAACTTAAAAAAATCAAAGGGATTCAGGGGAAAAGGCAGCCTCCATATGGCAATAGGGGGACCCAGGCACGGGGGCCGTGCCACCTCTGTCCTTGGTGTCTCTTTGCAGGTACGCAGGCCCCATGGAACGGGCAGGGGCAGAAAGCATCCTCGCCAACCGCTCGGACGGGACTTTCTTGGTGCGGCAGAGGGTGAAGGATGCAGCAGAATTTGCCATCAGCATTAAGTAACTCCTCTCTCCCTCACCCATACCCTTTTGGGGCCTGGGCCCTGCGGGCCTGGGAAAAAGGATAGCCAGGTTTTACTTTATAGAAGTGTGCAGTAATAACGTCCACCTTTTACGGAACCCCTGCTGGGTCCCAAGTGCCTTTCACCTTTCTTATTTCTTTTAATTGACAACCACAAGAAAGAGATATGATTCCTATAGAGGCTCAAAAAGGCTTTTAAAAATTAATTAATTAATTTGAGTCAGAATCTCCCTCTGTCGCCCTGACCTTTCTTTTTTCCCTTTTCTTTC